ATCGACAATACCTCGCGGGTACAGCGCGAGCGGCACCGGCCAACAATCCCCTGTCCCCGGGTACAGCGCGCACAGAACAGCAACAATGTCCAAACAATGTGCAAGCCACAGCTCGGCTCGCACCGACATTGGCCAGCTCGCTTAGGTCCATGAATATTATTGGGCTATCTATTTATTTCATACACAGTTATAAAAAAGCCCGAACTACTACCTCGAAGAAAACCTAACGAGTATCATCTGCTTTCATTAACGTTCGTTGAATGAGATTTTTTTATTCTACAGATACCTTACGCAGAACACACGCATCTTGCATACATTTAGGCGTTTGCTCGGCGGGTCGCCTATGCCGTTGGCCAAGTCAGGTCTCCCAGGGCAGACCATAGCACTCCCAAATGATTCACCAATAAAATTGACGCTTGTGACGCTTTTTTATTGCCAAAATTCGAACTTCCTGAGTGCAAACAACACAGGGGTCAAAATGACCCCTGCCGCGGTTCTAGGTATATTGTTGTTTTACGCCCACAAAAATGGCACGACAGCGCCGAAATTTCACTCAAATGTTCTTTTCTGGTATTTATAAAAAGTCAAAAAGCCCCAAATCCGAAAAGAAAAAAATAAGTCAGATAAATTTAAGACGAAAATTAAAAGGGGTCAAATTGACCCCCTCCGCGGTTCTAGTGTTAAGGGGAGGGGCAGTGCCTACAGTGCTCTAGGCCGTGCCTAGGCAGCCGGCAGACAGTGAGCCAGTTAGGTAGGCAGCCCGCCGAACGCACCTGCCGAGCGGCTCGGCAGGCCTACAGGCGCTTGCAGGGGTTCAGGAGAATTAAGATATCTCGGAAACGAAAAAAAATGTTTTTTGTGGTTGGTATATTTGTTTGTAGGAAGTATTAAGCTATCTTTTGAGCTATAGTGTGCCTTGTTTGATCGCCGGACTAAAGTTTGACGCTAATTTCAATATTTGAGTAAAACTTAGCAAAAACTTGACTTTTTCAAAAAAATTTGGGGAAAATCTTATTTTGTGTAGAATTTTATCCTTTCCAACCGTTTTTCCGGATTTGAGTTATCTCAAACAGTTTCCGAGATATAGGCGTTTTTATAGGCGATTTCGGAGTTATCGGCTGAAATCGATATCGTTCGATATCTCGATAACGGGAGATGTTTGGCCCAAACCAAATGTCACTTCTTAGTAAGGGTCAAGTAGGTAATCATCCATGTAAGTTTCACCAGGATCGGTGGCAGTCGTGTTTTTGACCTTTCTGATTCCACAAAGAATATTACCCAGGTACCGTTTTTACCGTGTTTGCTTAATAAATGACGTCATCCTCTCCGCCTGTTAATCTTAGTGTTATCTCTTATTTTATTACGACAGATTCATTCTGATGAAGGAGACGCTCGCTAACCTGTTACGTAAAATGGAGAAATCTGTCGGAGAAAGCCCGTGACGCGTCCGCCACACCAGGGATTTTCAAACCTTTCATAAACCTTGGTGACTTTGAAACTGCGTTTTTAACTTATCTGTTACAAATAAGACTCGAGCTTTAACCAGTGATTGATTTGAAACCTTGAAACCTTCTCTTTGGGCAAAGCCTTAAGTCCCTTTTCGTACCTGTTTCTGCCCTGCGCCCTTCCCCTACCGCTGCTCTGCTGTCGTCTGCTGCTGTCAGCTGGCTGTCGTGACTGGATCGTGACTGGACGGACCGAAAGGACGCGAGACGTGACCGGCGTGACCGCTACTGCGCCGCACCAGAGTGGGCCAGAAGACCGGTGGAGGCGGCCAAAACTCTAGACGCGTTTTGAGCTCCAGAGTCGCTAAATGGGACTCGAACCGAACGTGTGACCCCACCAATGGATTCCTCTCCGAACAGGGAATCCATTGGTGGGGTCACACGTTCAGTTCGAGTTCTGTTTAGCGACTCTGGAGCTCAAAACGCGTCTAGAGTTTTGGCCGCCTCCACCGGTCTTCTGGCCCGCTGTGCGCACGCCGCCGCCCCGGCGGGCGCACCGTGGTGGCCTCCTGGAACCCCTTGCAGACCTTGGCCACCTTCACCCTCCCGCCATGTTGCCACCAGCGCCACTTGAGGCAGCGGTGCATGAACTAACGCGACTCTACGATGGCCGTTAACGGGCCTTGTGGGCGACCCCGCGACCGCGGCGACGCCGCCCGGCCGTCCCGGCGGGGACCCCCACTGATAGAAAAAAGTACAGAAATTACACGGAACATGTCTGGTCAATTTTTTACCCGGACTGTCCGTACCTTGCCAACGACGGAGGTTCTGTACATGTTTTCTGTACCCGTTTACATGAGATCCTTATGGGGACCACAGAGAATCAGTACAGAAGGTCCGTACCTTTTCCGTGCCAAACCACGGAATTACCTTTTTCTCTTCATAGGAGTATACTGAGACGAACACACTACTACTGGCTTGCACCCTAGGGTTCTGTGTTTGGTGCAAAAAGGATACGATTAATCAATGCATCTCCAGGAGAATAAGCGTAATAACTAAACAAACCTGTTTATTATTTCCAGTGTCTTTAGTTCCATTTTGCAGGTAGTCTCAAGCCAGTAAAATGGTGTTTCACCCCTCCTCTTACTTTTTTCAAGGAAGTGCCTCAAAATTCTTACGTATCCAAAAAATAGGACACCACTGCCACTTGCTAGAAAAAAAATTTATATTATTATTTGGAAGTATTCTTTGATTGAAACTGACTCTCATGGGAGATGCCTTACGATCAAAATTCAGGCGACGATGATTAACTAAGCTGTATTCAGAACAAGGGGAACCTGTGGGACATACGGACATGTAACTTCCTTTACTAAACCACTTCCCATCTCCACCTGCACTTAAATTCAACTCACCACCAATGAGTAGATGTATCTCGCCCCATGTCATCTAAGACAGCTGAAGTGACATCCCTCACGTCACCCAAGTGGATTATTTCATCTCCGAAGTTATGCAGGTGCACCCTAATGGCATCTTTATTTATTTCACTTGCATAATACTTTTCAACATCTAAACCCAGCTCTCGTTTTAGTATATGGAATCCAGTACCAATGCCCTCGAAGAGACCTACTGCTCTTATTTTTGGTTTCCGAGGGGGTGTGCGCTCTCTGAACCTGTGTACCGACTATTACGCTATTACGCTCTATTACGCCACAAATTAATCGGAATTTAGCTAAAAACGGCCTAAAACACACCAAAATTGATAAAATTTTGACAATTTCAGCTATTACGCGACTATTACGCGTATTATTACGCGTGCTATTACAGATAGAGTGAACCGACTATTACGCGAGTGCATACCCCCTCGTTGGTTTCAATGGAGGTGCGACCTGTGCCTGAATTGTATTTAAAGGACATCTTAATTTTATTCTATTTACCCTTCCCAAAATTGGTTCATCTCGTGCACATGATTAATCGATTATGTTTCAGTAATCATAATCTTCACTGCTAAGTTCATCATTGAAACCCTCAAACACTCTACAAATCAAAGAGTGTTCATAGTATGCTCTAACTGGAGCATGCCTGCAAGCACGCTCTAGCTAGCGCATGCCTACCAAGCATGCACTAACTAGTGCATACATGCCATGTACACGCTTCCTATCCCTTATGCAGTAAATGTAAGGGAGTATGGGGCGATTTGTAACAGGGGCGATTCGTAACAAATGCGTTTATTAATTTAAGTGGAGGGAGCAGAGGAAAATCTGAGTATGGCCCCTCTTTCGCTTCAAGTACAGGGTCCTTGAACAATCGAAGCGGATGTGATCGGTGCTCAGGTATAGTTTTGGAGGGCGTCTGAAATATAGGGTACACCGAAATTTGGGCAAACAGGCAAATCTTTTATTTTGAGTTCTAGGAAGTTTCTGTCTAAGGCTCCCCAGGTATGAATCACCATCGAAGTGGGGGAATCACCATGGGGCCTTGAAGCGTGACCCCTTTACAATGTAAACACGTGGCATAAGTTGCTTTTACTTTGTCCAGTGATAGTTAGGGACGGATTTCTTGCGTAACAGGCATTTGGGGTGATTCGTAACAGACCCGTATAAAAACAAGAATTTAAGAAGTTTTTGCTGTTAAATGCTTGAATTATTTCTCGAATCATCTGCTGTTTTATTCCAATACATTTACACAGCTCGAAATGCATTTTAAAGCGAGTTATTCTATGCTTTCCTCTAAAATTGAAAAAAGTGAGGTTAGGATTGACATAGCCTATCAGTTAATGCTAAGGCGGGCAACGGCAGCTTGTAATGTAGATTTTTAGACATCTGCAGGACACCCGAAGAACAACTGGTGGAGGAGATAACATTCCCGACGATGTTTCATGTAATGTGTAGGATGTTAAGCCCCATGGCTGTTACAAATCACCCCATCCTGGGGCGATTCGTAACAGCATGCAAGGGTTTGGGAAACGTCTTAGATTTCAAAGATTACGGTCTCCAGATTGATCCAATGGAGGTGCACAGTCTAGATGAAGGGCCAGACTGCTCAACTGGCACAAGTATGACACCGATATGCAGAATGTTCTTAATTTTGTATAGAGAATTCCGAAATCTGTTACAAATCGCCCCATACTCCCTTATATCTTGGTGCCCGATAATATATTGGACATATATTTTCCCATATAATATTATCTTCGGGACATACACTCTACCAAAAATGTCCTGTCAACGCCGTTAATTCATTACCAATGTTTGCTGTTATGTAATTCACGGCGTTTGCTGTGAACTAGTTCACGGCGTTCACTGTGATCTCGGTTACAGTGTTCACTGTGATCTGACCACAGTAAACGCCGTGAATTGGAGCCTGATTTGCAGCACTTCGGTGCTCAGCGGCGTCAAACTCACAGTGTTTACTGTGAACCAGATCACAGTGAACACCGTGAACAAGATCACAGTGAATCCCGTGAGCAGATCACAGTAAACGCTGTGAATTAACGTTCAGTGAAAACTGGTAATAAATTAACGGCGTTGACAGGACATTTTTGGTAGAGTGTATATGTGTCAATATCTGACACCGCGCCTGTAGAGCATACATCCCCGACGGGGTAATGTAGGGCTCTAGGCGCCTGAGTGCCGCTCCTGCAACACATGTGGGTGCGTTGGGTTGCCTATCGGCCCCTGCCACTTCTCTTCTCTCCGCCACCCCCCACCGCCACCGCCACCCCACTCCACCACCCACGCCCTGGCGTGGGATGAGGTGGATGAGGCAGCAGCTTAGGCCCTGCCGACTTTTCCAAGTAACTTTTCAACTTCTGATGTTCAAGACTAAATGGTCTGTAAGTGTAGTGTAGAACACTACTCGTTTGGGTTGGGAATTTCTAAGAATTTTTATCTGTATTTATAAGCATTTAGATGGCATGTCACTGTCTGTTTGGTAAACTATTATCTCCCAGTAATAAATTTGAGTCAGGTAATTTCTGCAGGAGGTTGAGGCAAAAACTGGTAAAGGATCAATATTATTTTATTAGGATATGGTTATAGTAGCACTAGTAATTGACCAACACTCTCAGAACATTTAAAAGTAAAATGTCCAAAAATAAAATATACGGTAACAACTTATTAGTATTCAATAATAGGTATAAAAACTATTGAGATCATACATGATACTAGCATAAGAATTATATTAAAATTAACGAACAAAGTCAACAAAGTCAAATTATCATGAGTGAAATCAAAGTCACATAGCCAAGCCTTATAGTTCAAAGGGTAAAACGCTTCTCAAAAAAGAATTAATTACTAGAGTCACTCTCTTGGCCATTAAAAAGCTGGCTCTGCGCTAGGTCATGGCCAAAAATTGCCATATGATCTTCGGGTTGTCCATGCCACTTGCACAGGCGTCTAACATAGACTCTCGCCTGCTCTTCAGCTTCAGCTTCTGTTCCTGCAAAGAATGATCGGTATTAACATTGATCAATGTTGGGAATCCAAATGCGCAAAAGCGAATTAAATGACATTATTTTCTGAGATATGGTTTAGGTGCAACCACAATAGAAATATGTTTACGAGTAAGAAATTTGCACCTGATGTGTTTAATTGAGCGTTATCATGGAATGGAAATTAGATTGAGTAGATTTGATTCTGTAACTCTGTTTACCCTGCTCCTTAAACTTAACAGATTTGTGAAAGCTCTTTTCATTCCTAGATAACGCTCAATCTAAAGTACAGGGGCACATTTTTACTCACAGACTTATTTATAATATTATCTTATCACTCTTTCAGTGCCAGATTCCAAACGCTATGAGTATAGCACGTATGGTGCAATGCAGCTGAGATATCGCACCATACGTGCAATGCCTCAGCCATATTGCACCTTACGTGCAATTCAATAGGGAGGCATTGCACTTCATGTGCAATGCTTTTGCATGCACCAATTGACGCTATACTCATAGCGTTTGGATTCTCAGTGATCTCACAAAGAGGGCCACAGACTCAAGGGCATAGAGTAGATTTAAATTTTACTCACCACCAACACCCAGCACCACAGCAAGCTGCTCTTGATCATTGTCCTCCCTCTTCAAGGTCAGGGTGTCACCCCCAACATAAACTCGTGTTTGAGCTTCAAAATCTACAACATTCACCCGCCAGCCATCTTCCAGAAACAGCACAGTAAGAACTACACTGTTGATGTTGGGGTCAACAGAATATTGAGTTGCCATGATAAGTTGGAGCTATTTGAAGAAAGAAGTCTGAACAGTGACTGAGGATGGCACAGCACAGAAGTCAGCTGTTCTGGAAGTCCCTCCAACAGGGTGGGTGAGAGAGAAGAAGAAGAAGAAGAAGAAGAAGAAGGAGAGTAGAAGAAGGACAACAACAACAACCAACACCAGTGGGTGTGGGTGTGGGGTGAGAGGGTCAGTAATTTTTCATTTTACGCTCTGCTTATGGATGCTATTTTTATTTTGCAGCTCAATTAGGAAAGAGCTCTGGTAATGGAAGTTAGGTCAGGCATTGTTCTGCAATTGACACTGTTTTGACATCATGGGTAAGAAAGAAAGCAACAAGTAACAAGTTATGATGAATGTGTGAGTTTTTTTTATGAACTTTCTGTGACCCTTTTGCTGTAACTTCGGTGCATGCCTACATGACACTTTCTTTCTTAAATTGTGGTGCTGGTTCTTTATGAGTGCTTTCTTTTGTGCAGGTTCAAGAGCTCCTCCCAGACACAGGCGTTTATCTTAACAAGCAAGAGTATGAGAACATTAAATGCTCTGCCCCAAGTGCTAGTGCCATGGCGCGCCAACTCATGAAAGCAATTTTTAGTGATGAAGCATTAGTCGAGTGTTCGCTGGGAGGCAACATTGCTTTTGGGCAAGGGCGTTTGAATGAAGTAGCTGATACAAGACTGGCTCTCGACAGTCAAGGTGTTGATGCCATCTTCAGTAAGTATAAGTATTTTATTTCAAAGTATTAATCTATTATTCTTAAAATCTAAAGTTTTGAATTCATTTGTTGCAGATTATGTCAGAGCACGTCAGAGAAAGAAGGTGGAGCAGAAGAGGTGGAAGGAGTTGGACGACACAACCATCAAGACAAGAATGCGAAATTTATTGTGTGAGCATAGGTTTAGGAAGAAGCATCAGAACACTACCAGATCCGTAGTTTAAGAAAACTGTGTGCGGTTTTCCCGGATTTTGTCCTGTGTTAGTTTTTGTGCTATTTTTTCCTATTGCCCAATGATTTCTTAGTTCATAATGTTGAGTTATGTTTATGAAGTTGGTAACTAGAGGTACAATGTATTGTGATGTTGTTTTCAGTTGGATTGATGTTAGCTTTTATCTCATTTTGGTTTGGTGAATACTTCAGTGTTGCGATTAGATTAGATCGTAAGTTTGATCTCATTTTAGAATATTTTTTTTCTTTTTCTTTGAATGTGTGATCAAAGGAGATGGTGGCCTTGCTGAGGCTTTTTCATCTGCAATATATTTTGTGGATCGGAGGAAAGAATTTAATGTTCGGATTTATTGCTGAAGAGGTCTGCCCACTTCCAATGAACTTATTTTAATTCATTTTATTTTGACGTTTCTGCAGTTGTAGGAGGCTTATCGTCAAAAACTATTGTGATAAACATCTTATTTGAACTAAGTGCTCTTTTAATTAGGAGTTCCTAATACTTTATCTCCTAATTTTACTGCCAGGAGTCACTGTTAAAGTTCGATTAATATTCATTTTGATCTCATTTTGGTATAGTATCTGTTTAAATTAGATGTGATATCATTTAGTATGCTGTGCATTTTTATTTTAGTGATCGGTATATGTTGAGTATTTGTATGCACAGTCAAATATTTGAATTTGAAAGTTTAATAAATCATAAGAATGCATTTATATTCTATATTCTGTGCATCCCACCTAACTACTTATGACACATGAACTGAATGGAATGAGCCCCCTGCTTGGAAGAGCAGGGGTGAAAGAAAGGATGTTTAAATTTGGCCCACACATTCCATAAATATTTCTTATATCTTGGCAAATGTATGAAGTTTATGTATTGCCCACATATTTTTTATATCTTGGCCACTGTATGGGAGTTCTGCTTCAGACATAACTTTAGATCCACATAACCGTTTATCCACATAATTGTTGACAGACATAACTGGCTACAGACATAACTGGTGTCAGACATAAAAGAGGATTAATTGTGTTTAAAAACTGTAAACACACATAACTTTAAATTCACATAACTTTATTCAGAAATAAACTTTTAATTAAAAAATATATAAAAAAATTGAATTAAATAGAGGAGAAATAGAAGAAATAGAACTCAATTAAACTCAGTCAAAAATTTCAATCATCATCAAAATTTCCTTCCTGCACAGTGGGCACGTGGCGCTCTCGTCCGCCCGGCTCGCGCAGGTGTTGCAGCAGATGCGATGCCCGCACGGCACTGCAGCGTGGTTTCTAGGGCCGTCAAAGCAGAGGCGGCACTGCTCATCTTGCCCCTCTGCCGAACTGGAAGCAGCTGCCCTTGCATCGGCATTCGCAGCCTGTTGAAGCGCGTGCTGCTGAGTCCGCCGTGCTGTTATTTCAGCTTCATCCATGAATCCTTCGGGCAGCTCTTGCTATCTTCATTTCCTTCACTACTCGATGAAGCGGACGGAACATTCCCAGCACCCCTGCCGCGACCACCCCTTATGTCTGTCGAAAGTTATGTCTGTCAAAAGTTATGTCTGTCGACGGTTATGTCTATCAAATATTATGCCTGTCAAATGTTATGTCTGTCAACAGTTATATGTATATGCGATTTGGTTATTTCTGTAAAATGTTATGTCTGTAGCAATTATAATTTTAATTTAAATAATAAATGCTTTTTATTTCAGAAATATATCCGTTATTTCTGTCACCAGTTATGTGGATTTACAGTTATGTGGGTCAAAAGTTATGTCTGTCAACAGCAACTCCACTGTATGAGATTTATATATTTGCCACATATTTTTTATATCTTGGTCAATGTATGAAATTTATATATTTGCCACATATTTTTTATATCGGAAAAGTATCTTGCTAAATTATCTTTTCCACATATGTCGCCAATACATGTTGGGCCATATATTTTGTCCATATAGTGCCCATATATTTTCCTTTTTGCAAGGGTCGCCATCTCATCGGCCAGAGTTGAGTTTAGATGTGCCACTGTCGCCTCATTAGACCATTCCCCCAAGTAGATACCTGAAGGATGGCAAATGGTGAGGACTCCCTCTTCCTCCAACACCCGAAAGGGAGGAGGGTCCACCTTTTCCTCTTCTCCCGTTACCTTGTATACTTCCACCATGGTAACAGTGGCCAGCTTGGCCCTCAATGGAGAGATTTCAAAAGATTCCGACCTTTCTCTCCTTTCAGAACTAGTGGCAAGACGAAGGAGCTGACCGTCAGAAACTGAGTCTGCAAGCAGTGCGCTGAAGGACCCAGTCAAGGATTTCGTGTTTGATGTTTGTTCTGAAGGGTTTTGTCCCCCCTCTTCACTGGTGAAACAAAGGTATAAAAATTATGCCCTTAAAGGGCCCCTTAAAGGGCATAAATCGTTAATGCCTTTGGGAAGGGCATTAAAATTTTGCTTGAAATTCCCATACCATTTACGCCCTTCCCAAGGGCATAAAACGATTTAGGCCCTTGCAAGGGCGTAAAAGAGCATTTATGCCCTAAAGGGCGTAATTTTTATGCCTTTGTTTTACCAGTGTTGTCTTGTGCATCCTTCTTCTCTTGCATGCCCAGGTCACTGCCACACTCAACCACCTTCTCCGGCCTTCTCATTTGTAGCCATGTTCCAGAAGCCCTCATGGACCGAAGCAACTGGGCAAGTCCTTGGAGTGTGTCAGCATTCAGACGGAAGCTGACCTGCACTACAGATTCTGCATGTGGTATGGCTTCAGTGAAGCCGTTGTCACCGAAGTAAGCCCAGACGCCTGCTTGTTCAGGAGCGTAGAACACCTTCGCCTCCTTCTTTAGGTCCATCTTTACATCACCAGCTGATAGACCCCATTCCGCGGGCCTCTCTGACAAGATGTTGTTTATGGCTAAGGGATTGCCTTGGTTTGGGACCCCTTCACCAAATAGGAAGCGCTTCCTCAAGTAGTCAGAGCGGGTAAAATCCTTGTCACAAAACTGGCACGTATGCATAATCGCGAGATTTTGGAAATTATCGTAAGTATCGTACGAATGTTTTGAAATCATCGTGCGTTTGGGGGGTATCGACCAATTCCGAGCAAACCTACTTAATCTTCAAAAAAGGGGAACGACCGACTGAAAATTTTTATTCGCCTTGTCGGTAGGTCTGGTCGAGACATTTCCGAAAGTGTGCCGCAAATCGGGTCCCCGCCACCGGTAATGGGGTAAAAACGATGAAATATATTACGTCAAAACCTGGCCGGAAAAAATGTGTAGAAACCAGAAATGAAATACGCAAAAGGGGCCCATTAGTTTGGCCTTCGGTCACATTGACCATAATGAACACAGATCTTATCCTTGTCAAAGCAGTCTTCAATTTTTTCCGGACCTTGTATGCACTCATTGACTGCCTCATCAGCCAATGCAAAACAAGCTATCAATTTGGGCAGTAATAGTAGCTTCAATATATGGTCAAAAACGGTACACTCTCAGACTCGTAATGACTTCTTTCTCTCCATTATTGACATTTTGTCCTTTGCTTCGTAGTTTTCTAAGCAGCAATAATATGTAGTATTTCCTTTGTAACCATGTACAATATTGTTCACTATAAAGACTAGATTGTCATCAATTATTGACTAACTTTTAAGTCAATTGCGTATTGCCTCTTTTTCAATAGCAAATTGACTTTATGTCAATATAACGTACAAAATCCTACATAAATATTGAGGAAATAGTACTTTTTATTGCTGTGTAAAATAATCTTAAAGGACAAAAAGTCAATAACAGTCTGACAGTGTAGCCCCCCCCCCCCCAAAAAAAAAAAAAAAAAAAAAAAAAACCAAAAAAAAAGCACTGCATTTACTTCCTTAGAAAATTTGCTTCTGGTCACCACGGAGCGCCGCGAGTTTCACAGTATAGCTCGCAGTATAGCTACATTGCCGAAATGAAGCGCCTTTCTGCCTTTCCAGTGCCCGCTGAATGAAAAATTATTTGATTACACTTAAGTATCGTAAATACACTGGTAAAACTAAAGCGTAATTCTATCATTGAGTCAATCATAAAGTTACGCTTGAAATGAAGCATACTCTGGAAATTCCCCCATGCATTTAGATAGGGGGAATCTTGCCGGATGAGGCTTGATTTCAAGCGTAACCTGATTACGCTTGAAAACAGAGGGTAATACTACGCTTTAGTTTTGCCGGTGTAACTTGTTCCTGACCCACAAACTGTGCTCTGACTGTCGCAATACCAACCTGAAATACCTTTTTAAATTAACAAGATACAATTCAGAACCACTTTCTACCAATCTGGCCACCGCAGGAATTTTTTTACTCGTTTTGACATTTCTGGATCATTGTGCGGCTTCGGGGATAAGGGTATGTTTCCGCTTTGGTTTAACTTTTCATTAAAATATTCTATACACCCAAAAAACTGACGTTTCGTATACAAGGTAGGTTTACGCCAGACCGCATCTTGTCGTAACAGGCTTCGCGATGTCTCGCTGCCTGTTCCTCCAATCCGCGCCTGGCGTACCTACCTTGGCCTGCGGCGCTAGCCTAATGGCTTGTCCATCGTCGGTTACTTGAGCCCCCCCAGACCTCCGTTTATTCTAGATCCCTTGTAGCTTTTCAACTTGTCGGGGCTGGGGGGCTCCGCCCCCCAGACCCCCCTTCTTCAAGACAACAGTGATCTGCCTGCAGAAAACTCGATTTTTCGCCGTTTTTTAGGTGTTTTTCGGCTATAAAAACTGAACCAGTTGAGCTAGGATAGTGAAATTTCGCGTGTGCCGAGCCAAGGACATGCCCAAAAAGTGTGCAAAATCTCACCGAGATCGGCCGAGCCGTTCAGGAGGAGTAGTGCGGACAGACACACACCACAGACAGACAGACAGACAGACAGGAAAAACTTTTCAACCCCAATGGAGTAACAGGCTTCGCTATCGCTCAGCCAATGAAATTCGGACAAAATCTGCGTTTTTTTTGGAGGTTGTCAATTAGTTTTTTCCCAAGTGTCAGAAAGCAGGAGTAAAATCAGGTTAAAAATTGGTAAGTTGGATAAAATTCTACTACTTTCAAGCGTACCCCAGCTTAACAAAAGTACAGTCAATAGTGTAGTGTATTCTCACAGAGTAAAGCCAGTGCTAAAACATGTGTAAAGGGGGAGGGGCATGCTAAGTTGTTGGCCTCGCAAATGTTTGAGACACGTCTGCGATAATTTTGGTGCATCCTCGAGGTCTCTTGACACCAGGTCTCTTAGCGTGGAAGTTCAGCACATGTGCGCGAAATCTGCCGTAGGGCAGGACTGGGAAATGCCTGAGCTGTCCGATTCGCGCCGGCGTGTTGGTGACATTATATATTGTCTGCAACAATATCCAGTGATGCCTTTACGAAAACACCTGTTTCCGTACACTGTGCGAAAGAACTAAATCCTGTAACTATTAGTACAGCTGTCACTGTAGTTCAGAGTACAGGATTTACTGTCCTTTTTTTAACAGGATCTACTGTACTTCTACGGGATTTACTGTGGTGCAGAGGTGGAGAAGGGAAATCCTGCACAAGGTACATTAAATCCTGTATTCTGAACTACGCTGCAAACTGAAGTGTGTACACAGTACACTCTTATGAGAGCATGCTTCCAAGTACACACGCTAAAGTAGAGTGTACATTGCATGTACACGTTAAATAAGAGTGTACCTGGCAAGTACATTTAAACTGGCCCATACTTTTGGATAGGACCAATCGAGTGTATTTTAGCGTGTACTTACACGGTAAAGGTACACACTTATTTAGCGTGAACTTGCTAGGCACACTCTATTTTATCGTGTGCCTAGCAAGTATGCTGTAAATAAGAGTGTACTCCGACACTGAAAACGTAATGGTCGGACACATGGCCAAATTATTGCGTGACAAAAACAAGAAATTCACGCCAAAAATCGGCGTGAATCTTTGAGTCACGCTGATTTTTGGCGTGACTTTTCTGTCATGCCGCTTGTTGGTTTGAGACTTTATTCACGCCCCTGCAGCGGCACGAAGTCACGCCGATAGGTTTTCAGTGGAAGTATGCTCGAACAAGGTAGGTTTACGCCAGACCGCGTCTTGTCGTAACAGGCTTCGCGATGTCTCGCTGCCTGTTCCTCCAATCCACGCCTTGCGTACCTACCTTGGCCTGCGGCGCTAGCCTGCCTGCGGCAGGCAATGGCTTGTCCATTGTCGGTTATTTTTTAACTTGTTGAATGCTGGGGCGCTCCGCCCCCCACACCCCCCTACATTCTAAAAAGAGTTGTTTTATCTATAGATAACACGATCTTGACCCTTGTCACTTTTTAACTTGTCGAGGCTGGGGGGCTCCGCCCCCCAGACCCCCCTTTCTCCAAGCCGGAAGTGATCTTTCTGCAGGAAGCTCTATTTTTCGCCGTTTTTTAGGTGTTTTTCGGCTATAAAAACTGAACCAGTCGAGCTAGGATGGTGACATTTCGCGTGTGCCGAGCCAAGGACATACCGAAGAAGTGTGCAAAATCTCTCCGAGATCGGCTAAACCGTTCAGGAGGAGTAGTGCACACAGACAGACAGACAGACAGACAGACATGAAAAACTTTTCAACCCCACTGGAGTAACAGGCTTCGCTATCGCTCAGCCAATAAGAGTGTCCTATGTACACACTACAGTAGTTTGCAGAGTACAGTAAATCGCGGCAGAAAAATAACCAGGATTCACTGTAGTTTTTTCGCAGAGTGTAATCCCCCCCCCCCCCCCGCAAAAAAAAACTTGATTGCGTCGGACTTACGTTTGGTACAGGACACTTTGGCGGGAAACCTTTAACGTGTTTCACGACGACCTCAACTAAATCTTTTCCAATGTCCTGCATAGCACTACAAAGGTCCCCAATCGGCATAACCAAGAAGTGTTCTCTCCAACCGGACACTGTATCCCACTTCGCGACGTCAATAGTCACCTGTCAATGGGAGGCAAAAATTGTATTTAAAAATTAAAAATTTATTTCCCACTACACTTTCATTTCAGGAACGTGACATCACGTCCAACGAATGTGACAAAATGTCACGTTCGTTTCAGCACTGTGTCACGTTCGTTTCGATGTGAATAAGCTAATTTATGGCTGATTCACATCGAAACGAACGTGACATTTTGTCACATTCGTTTGAACGTGATGTCACGTTCCTGGAATGAGAGTGTAAAAGCATATGTAACGGACAGGGAGGATATCCAAAACGAAACAATACCAGTGCTGTTACGACAACAATTAGAATTTGTTCCTAAATTTGTTCCTAATAAAACTACTAGTAGCGAGAATCAGGGGACAAGCTTTAATTTGGTGTGCTAAGTGCACACTCAACATCTTATGATAGTTTTTATACGTATTACGATGGTTTTTCATCGTAAGGTACGCATAAATTTGAACATACATAATATGTTTAATTTTCCATCGTATTACGCATGAATTTCATCGTATTACGCATGTATATCATCGTATTACGCATGAATTTCGTCGTATTATGCATGAATTTTATTGTAGTACGTATGTTCTCATTTCAACGTATGTTACGATGGCCCTTTCATCATAAGAATCTGAGGGTGTGTATCGGAGTTTCGTTGCCATGTGGGTGAGTGAAGTCCACAAACCGCTTCCCGGAGTTATTTTTACTTTTGGGGCCTAAAACAAAATTCAGAGAAGCGGAATTTTGACTTGGTCCATATGGGAACAAATCTTCGGTAAGTTACACTTAAACCATCAAGGAAAAGCTGTTCCTCTAGTTGAAGCTGCTACAGATTTATGCAATTTGTTGACGTAACGGCCCTGGTATTGTTTCGTTTTGGGTATCATCCCTGCCAAGGGGGACATCAGCCACTGCAAATGCAAAGGCGATACTTAAGAACATTTTCTGGCGATACAGTGGAGTATCGCCATTGAACGGCCTCACGAAAAATTATTGCCTTCAGCGATACTATAAGGTTTCGCCAAAACTACGGCATTAAACTAAGAACTTGTCTCCTTTATTTGATCAACGATTATTGCCAAATCGTGGCGATACTCTAAAGTATCGCCAAATTGACGATACTTTTGTGTATCGCCAAATTTTGGCGATACTTTTGTGTATCACCGTTTTAAAGGCAATACTACTTTTCCGAGGGGCCGTTCATTGGCGATGCATAATTGTATCTCCATAAACGGCTCTAAAAGTATTGCCTTTGGATTTACAGTATCGTCATAGAACTGACTTGCTTTGTACTAAACCACCGTTCAAACGCTTAATCGTCTTTCCAAACAAGTATGAAAAAAAGTGCTTGGACAGTTTTGACTTCCGAATGTGCCGAGCTTGGTGGCAGCTTCAAAAATGTAAAAAAAAAACATAACTGTCTCAAGTTACCCCGGTTTCCGGCACAACTTGGTATGCATTTGTGTTCAATGAGTCTCACTTTTTAAAGTTCTCATCTTGTGTAATTTGATCTCAATATGTGATTCAAACAATTATTTTGTTCCTGATGTCCTCTTGGCAACAGAATATCGCCATAACCGAATGAATTGCTGACCCATTCAATGCACTCACTGTGGTTGCGCCTGGCGAAAAAATGTCGTTTTTCACGGTGACGTTGCCGTTGAAGAAGAGGTTTGCCTTGCTGGAACGGTTGGAACGTAAAGCGCCCTCTATTTTGAAATCTTCGTCGTTGTCACATTCTGGACAAAATCCCAATTCACGAACGATAGCCACGTATGGCCCCTAGAATCGCAAGCCGAATATCGTAGCAAGCAGACGATGCTGGGTCATTCACACTTATTGTCTATAGACAAGATTTTTGCTCCCGTAAGTAAGGGGGGAGACTCGTCATTCTGCGTCAATTGCCCGTCCAAACTTTGAAGCCATATTCGGCAATTGCAATATTTTTGGGGCTGCTACGATATTTGAAGCCATTTTACTCAATTGCCCGTTGCGTCATAAGGCCGTCACTCTGAACTAGAATCGCAACTAGGCCGCGGGACACTAAGGGGGGAGACTCGTCATTCTGCGTCAGCCCGTCCAAACTTTGAAGCCATTTTACTCAATTGCAATATTTTTGGGTGTTGCGCGCACGATTTAAGCCAGACCGTTAATTGTTTTGGCCTCATAATTTTTCCAATGTTTCATCTCCATAAGGCCGTCACTCTGAACTAGGATATCTTCCATCGGACAAGCGGAAGTGGCCGAAAACAATCAATGAAATGTCTAAATTTAAATACTTTTTTTGTTTCACCTAAAATTTCAGGCACTTGGGAACCACCTATTTCAATCATCCTAGTTCAATAGTGCCAGGAGTCCTTTGGAAAGAGGCACACACTGCCAATCCAAGTGTGAGACAGTCTCACACTTGTAGGTGTAGGACATTTTGTCTCACGCTTAGAAGTGTGACCCACGCTTGTCTCACGTTTGCAAGTGTGGGACAACGAAGTCTCACACTTGCAAGTGTCAGACACTTGGTCCCGGGGCCACGGGTCCCACGCCTGCAAGTGAAGGACAAACCGTGTCTCACACTTGCGAGCGTGAGACAAACGTGGCTCACACATATAAGCGTGAAACAAAATGTCCCACTTCTACAAGTGTGAGACTGCAGACATGTCTCACACTTGGAACAAATTGTTTACAGAGCACCTGATAGTGATGCAATTTTGTGTCTGCCAGGCGGTAGGGATCACAATTGAATCAACGTCAGATGTGCTTAAAATTGCATAACTCGTGGAACAGAAAACGTTCCGTGACATTAAGTGCGTACCGCAAATGCCGCACGGACACAACTGGTGTACATGGCGGTGCCCAGGAGAAGCGCTGGCAGCATCAGGTTGCCCTGGCCACTCCACTGTGGACGCTCGCATGACGTCAAGCCATTGGGCATCGCAGGGCCTATAGTCGCACTGCAAGGTCTCTGTCAACTAAGTTTGTTTGCGACGCTATTTAGCAGAGATCGTTGGGCCGCGTTTTGTTCCGCTCGCGTGCATGACAAGCAATTATTCGTTCCTAGCGCTGTGTCAAAAAAAAAAAAAACTTTCCCCGACAGCTGTATTACTGCGCACACAGTGAGAGTATAAATGGCGGTCGTTACGCAATTTGGATGGCACTGACCCATGTACACTGCAAAAAATACCAGAACAAAAGCACACAAATTACTGGCAATTTTTTATCAGTTTTTTATCACTTTCAAAGTACAACAATTGCTGTACCAAGTACAATGGAAACGGCATGACGAGTGCTGGGTAGTCAAGACCTCGTTGTGGATTGTACAATTCTCGTTGTACTTTCGCTATACTTTCAACCAACAGGGATTAATCCCTGTTGTACTTTTATTGTACCGTTTTTGTTGTACTGTTCACACTTTTCCTCGCATTGTACCCTGAAAGGAGATTTCAACCCAACCCACAGGGCCGTGGGTCACTGTTTCTTGGCAGACGAAACGCATCGCTCCCCAGTAAGATAACTCCACTGATCTGAGTGTATTCACTGTTCAGGCGCTGTCACACCGAAAATGGCCGCAAACTGGCATTCTGTTTGATCACGGGGCACTTTAAGAATAAGTTCCAAATGGCTAGAAAGGAAAAATTTCTTTTGACCCGGGCATTCACTGGTAAAACTGAAGCGTAGTTGTATGCTTCATTCAAGCATACATCTACGCTTGAAGACTTTACGCTTGAAGTCAAGGATAGAGAAGAAATTCTCCCATGCATTTAGATAGGCGGGGGAGAGGCGAAATGGAGAACTACGCTTGAAGCCGAGCATAGTTCTACTACGCTTGAAGAAAGGCGTAGAAGTACGCTTCAGTTCTACCAGTGTCAGGACAGAATTTAGAGGTCGCGCTTCGCTTCTGAATTCAAAATTGCTTTTTTTGTTTGTTTCTTTTCTTTTGCTTCGCTCACTCTCACAGCCACGGCCCTTCCTGGCCGTCCCTCGCGCGTCTCGGTCGGACTCCAAGTGCCTTCGGGCAACATTCCAGCACCAAACCTTCCCTTGTCGCCCCCAAAAGCCCTCTAATAACCGAAAACAATAATCTTTTTCAAAATTCTTGTTCTGAAATGGCCGCACCCGGCACTACAAATCTTGACACTGAAATCGTATTAGTCAGACTGGCGTGACAAAAAGTCACGCCAAAAATTGGCGTGACGCGAAATTCACGCCGATAAACGGCGTGGTATGTGAGTCACGCCGCCATTTGGCGTGAATGACAACGCGATTTAAAAGACAAGTCATGCCAAAAAGCGGCATGACAAGAAATTCACACCAAAAATTGGCGTGAATTTCCGAGTCCCGCCGATTTTTGGCGTGACTTTTGTGTCATGCCGTTTGTTGGCGTGACACATTATTCACGTCTCTGCAGCGCCACGAAGTCACGCCGAGAGTTTCAGTGAAGGTCAGACTTATCGCCACTGCAGAGGCGAGACATAAATAAGTCACCAAGTTTTAGTCAGTTTTAGTCTCAAAGTCTCGCCGAAATTTGGTCAGACAAAAAAGTCTCAGTCTCGCCACAAGACGGTCAGACATAAAAGCACTGTTATCCAAGTTCCGATACTTTCAACACAAAAACGTGCGATGATATCTAAAATGCGATTCCCACGAATCATTGCTCCTGAGATGCAATGACTTCTGAAGCGCACAAAATTCTGCTATGATCATCGCAACTTTCTGCAATGAAAATCGGAATTGTTGCAAAAACCTGCGATGATGACAACACAAAACCCGCAATCATTACAGTTTTTGGCAATAATAATTGCAAATTTCTGCGATACTCTAGCTCATCACACCTTTTCGCAATGATCATCACAGAAAAGTGCGATAAAATTTGTATCGCGCAGAAAGTGAGGTCTGTATCGCAAGTGGAATAACAGTGAGTCTCACCACAAAATGGCAAGACTTTTTGTCTGACCACAGCCGTAACCGTCCGGTGTATTACGGCCTTTGGTTGACGGTCAGACACAAAACTCTCGCTGTTTTGTGGCGAGACTTTTTTGTCTGACCGAATTTCAGCGAGACTTTCAGGTCTGCGCGAAGTCTTCCCATTCAATTTGCAGTGGGAGCAGTGCATTGCGAATTTCGGAAAACAGCCGATTTTCCACAGTTATCTGCTGCTACACGATCTAGCGTTCTACTCGCGACCGCTTGGTCTCGCAGCACCACCGGGCAGCCTTCACACACCGGCACAACTGTACAGAAAGTCTGTGGAAATCACGGAGAATTTACAGAAATAGTTCTACGGAGAGACTAGAGACACAGTGCGAAAAGACACAGGGAATCCCGTTCATTTTTAGCCGGGATTTGCTGTAGTTCAGAACACAGGATTTACCGTGCCACTGTTATTTCACTTGCGATACAGAACGCACTTTCTGTGCAATACACATTTCATCGCACTTTTCTGTGATGATCATTGCAAAAAGGTGTGATGAGCTACAGTATCGCAGAGATTTGCAATGATCATTGTAAAAAACTGCAATGATTCCAGATTTAGTGTTGTCATCATCGCAGTTTTTTGCAATAATTCCGATTTCCATTGCAGAATTTTTTGCGATACAGAAGTCATTGCATCTCAGGAGCAATGGTTCTTGGGAATCACATTTCGGATATCATCGCACGTTTTTGTGTTGAAAGTATCGCAAACTGGATAACAGAGTGCCTGGCTTCAGTATTTACTGTACCTGGTACAGGATATTCCGTACTCCACTCCTGTGATACAGTAAATCCCGTACAAAGTTTAGTAGATCCTGTAAAAAAGGAAAGTAAATCCTGTACTCTTAACTACAGTGACAGCTGTACTAATCACTACAGTATTTACTGTGATTTTACGCCACAGTGTAGCAAAGCCAGAAATTATCTGTGATCTGGGGATAACGGAGAGTATGTTGACATACTAGTCTTTCAACACACTGGTCCGTAAGCCAGAATTTGTTTGTTATCTGAGAATAACGGAAAGTCTGTTGACGGACAAGACTGTAGCTAGAATTATTCTGTGATCTACAGATAACGGAGAGTCTGTTTACATACTAGTCCGTGCTTACATCAATGTATTTTGCAGCATTTAATGCTATAATTATAGCAAGTTATTTTGGAGCAGTACTTGATGCACTATACAAAAGTTCTTGCTGTTTATGCCTATTGACTAGAATTGGATTGCTGCGTCAACTCAACTTCTCAGTTTTAATTATCTTGCTTCAACAAATCAACCGGCGAGGGGGCAAAAACTCGGTATTTTCGTGTACACATGATTCGGAAAACGCAATGATTCGCGTAATTCACGTGATTGTGATTTTGAATAATTTGCGTGATTTCGTCTGATTTGAAAATTTTATCTTGATTGCGCGTGATAGTATGTGATTCTGTGTAATTGCGCATTGTTTTAACTGATTTCATGGCTGATTCTGCCTTATTTCACGAAGCACCAAGGTGATGTTGAGCGTGATTGTGTGCGATTGAGTTCGGAAAGAAGTGATTTCTGACTGGTTTTGCCTGGTTTCATGTGATTCTGCCTGATTTCGGTCGATTTTGGTTGATTTCGGATTGTTTGATTTCGCGTGATTCTCAATGATACGCGTGTGATTTCGGGGGCCGTGTACACATGATTGCGCGAGTTTTTGCGCCCTCGGTAAGTGGGTTGTGAAACGAAATGTGTCGCTGAGAAAGATTGGAAAGACTATCAAAAGACTTAACACCGACATAGAATTGGCACGGCATTAGTCGAGTGCTCCAGCTATGCGCGCTGTTTTAAAGAATCATGTTCCACAATCTGATTTTCAAAAGCTCTGTGGTCTTAACTATAAAGGAGTCAAATATCGCCCTTCACCTTTAAACTCTGAGAAACTTACGTTATGTGGGTGGACCAGGTCCACTGGACCTGCCATAGCCCCTTGTGTAGCCCAGGACAATTGTGCAAACTTTACTTGCTAGCATCCTAAAAAATTTCATCATAGAGGAGAAATGGTTAGATCTACCAACTTCGAATCAGCGGATCAGAAGTTTTCAAATGTAAAGGATCAGATACCCGAGATGCCCCCACACCCGCGGCTCTTCAAAAAACGGAAAAATAGGCCGGCCGCACTGGCCGAGCTCGGCCAGCGTCAGGCCCCCCCAGTGAGTCGCCTGCGCGCGGAAGGGTAGTGACGCACCTGTCCACTTGATACGAGGGCGCCCCCTTGGTCGCATCCGTGAATCTTATTGGCTATTGGGCAGCCGGCCTACGCTGGCCGACGGGCCTGGGGTCCAGGCCGCTGCGGCCTGCGTAGGCCGGCCGCTCTGTCGTTTGCCTGTCGCTGGCCGGGCTCGGCCAGTGCGGCCGGCCTATTTCGCCGTTTTTGAAGAGCCCTGCCCACACCCCTCAAGAGTTTAGACAAGTTGAGTGCGAATGCATGTGAGAATTGCAAGACCACGCCAACCACGCCCCCTTCCTGCCCTGAGCCAACGGGAATGGTCTCCAGATAAGACACCTTGGGAGCATTGCCTGATGAGGCAAGAATCTTCTACGTCTGCTGCCCTCACAATTGGAGATCTCATCCAGGATGAAGACGATCCTATTTGGAAGTTGTTCCTCTTATTGAAGGAAGTTTGTGAACCAGTGTGTGCCCCAAGCATCGCTCTAAAACAATTGCCATATCTGAAGTCAATTATTCAGACCTTCTCACTTATGGTGAAGAAACAGATGGGTTATGCCTTCTTGATCTCAAAAATGCATTGGATAAATCATTACTGTGATCTAGTGCTAATATTCGGATCATTGATTAGATTATTCACCCTTCGATTTGAGAGTAAGCATATGTTTTTTAAGGAGGTTGGGAAAGCTTGCAAGTCTAACAAGAACATTACAAAAGACTCTATAGAAGTCTCCGCTTGGTTTTAGCTTGGTAACCTTCCTCTTCAAAGCTTTACCTCGTAACTTATAATCCTTTGCCCCCTCGCACTGGGCTATCATGTCAAAGATATGCACAAGTTCACAAGAAAAAATGGGGCCGTCTCGAAAGCGAGCGGACGCCAACTCGGACGCAGCCAGCGAATGCCGCCGGTGAGCCGGCGGGCCTTCGACGTTGTCTGTCAGTCAGTCAGTCAGTCACCTGGGTCACCTCACCACAGCACCACCGCGATGAAGGAAGGAAAGAGAGCCAACGCGGCAGAGATAAACCAAGACCTCATCGTCCCGCTGGTTGTGTACGCAGTGAAGACTCTATTGCAGGACGACGGGAGCAGGACGTTCATCGATATCTTTAGCATTGAATTAGTTACCATTTTTAATGAGATAGGCCGGCTGGAGGGGTACCAAGAGCCCAGGAATAGAGGCAAGGCACTCAAGAGAAAAATCACCAAACTCGCGCCGAGTGGCCTTTTTTATCGCGCCTTACAGGTAAGCTTTTGGCCCGTCTGTTGAATTTGGTGTTGATCCGCGCTCTCTTCGTGGCCGTAGAAGACCGGTGGAGCGGCCAAAATTCTAGACGCGTTTCGAGCTCCAGAGTCGCTAAATGGGACTCGAACCGAACGTGTGACCCCACCGATGGATTGCTCGTTCGGACAGCAATCGTCTGGGCGGAGCGCGAGCGCAGCTCGGGAGCCGTGCCCGTGCCCGCCCTCGGCTTGCCACGGTGCTGCGCCGCGGTGCCGGCAGACCGAAGGGTCCACTGTTAAAAAATGGTTGTACAGAAACAATCAGATGAGTGAAAATTTAGTCGTTCCAAAACTTAGAATTTTATCATGAACCAAAGCGAAACAAATGTCGTTGACTCATGTCAGCGACAATTTGTCGTTGAAGAACAATATTCTTGTTATCACCCTTAATGATACAATTTGTGTGGAGACAACATCTTTTGCAATTATCTGCTCAATTAAAGCGAATTATGAAAATTCATCAATTTTGTTCGCCAATCTTTTTCGACTTACAATACTTGTTGATGACTTACAACATTTGTTGTTGGTCAACGACTTGTTTTCGAAAGTGGACTGTTGATGTGTTATTACAAGTTTGTCGTTGTAAAATTATCCTTTAGTTCCTGTACGACTATGGTTTAACAAGCTATTCGTTCCACAACAAATCTTGTCGTTAAAAAAATTAGCGACAAATGTGTCGCTAAGTTACTACAAAATTTTTATCAGTGCGTTTTCGTTTTCGCGTTTCCGTTTTCGATTTTCCGCCCCAATGAAAGAGGCAGAAAGATTTTTCCTCAACGTTCTCAAAAACACTTTAGTGGCATTTTCCTCAGAGACCGTTCAACATTTTGGATTGAATTTTGTTTTGGGAATTCACCAAAATAAATCTAATAAGTAAGCAAAGTTTCAAATTTCTGGGATTATTTTAAAGCCTACTTGAAAGTTTCACCAGGGTCCCTTCAATGTCTGTGTGTTCTTAGTGTTTTCGAGACGTTCATTGATATGCCCAGATATTCCCGGTATTCTGAATGTTCCTTGGGATTTCTAATATTCCTGGTGTTCAGAAGGGTTCCCATGTTCCCTTCATGTTCTCTTCATGTTACTTTGAAACATGTTCCTCGTACAAAAAAATTCAGAGTTGACCCCCCTCGGCTTTTTCCTTGTTTAAAAATTTGATTTCTCTACTGTTTCTTGTGTTTTTCTCCAGGCTAATGGGATCATTGACAACTGGCTGGAGATGGCGGTGGATAAGGGGGCCCAAGGGCGCGACGACGCCCCCGACGCGCGGGCCGATCCCTAAGCAGGGAGAGCAAATGAGTCGTTTTGCGCCCGCTCCCGTCCCTTCCCCGCACTGCCCCTCTCGGCCCGCTCGGCACGGCTTCGTCCAACATCTACATGACAGATAAAAGTCGAAACTTACCTAGCTGAAAGAACAATTCGTGCTGGTGTATGGGAGACACAGCGCCCAACATCCCAATTGGTCAAAGAGAAAACTGTTGCGGCATTTCATGAATTCAAGTGCGGCAAGATGGATCTAATCGACTACCTACATTATGTAGGCAATTTAAATCGTACTTTAAGGAAGAAAGATGTTAGAGAAGGCGAGGACGAGTGATGATTTTTGCTGAATGCGATATTTTATGACCAAACTGATATGTGATGTGATATTTTTGATTTTCCCCATTGATTCTTGAAATTGATTGATGAAATAAAATTGCCCATTTTGTTGATTTTGACTTCTATTTCGTGACTTCATACATCACACTCCCAGTCGGCAACCCCCTTGCCCCTGGCTGAAACTTGCCCTTTTGCGCCGGATCACATCGTTTCAAGACGGCCCCCCAAGCGGCACGGCGCAAACGGTCTGTTTCCGGATTAGGGGCAGGTAGACGCGGCGCAAAACGCATACGCCCACGCCTCTGCCGCCACCCCTGCCGCCGCCGTCGGCCGAAATGGTAAGTACAGCGCTGTTGTAGCGTCTCAGTGGCGAAGGGTCTCGAGGAAGGTGGTTGGAAGGATGGTTTATTGGGGTTAGAGGGGGCGAGTCGGGGGTCAAGGAAGGCAACTGGCAGTTGAAAGCGCTTTGTGGGGGGGGGGGGGCGACCTTTGCAGACCATGATGCTGCCCGTCGTCCTGGTGGCGTCCTGGCTGCCAGGGGGCAATCAGCGCCGACTGGGTTTCTATTACCCTTGGTACCCGCCACTGTCTGTCTGGCTGCCTGCCTGGCTGTCTGCCTGGGGCGAAGAATGCGGAAAACTTTGGGCCTTTAAAACTTGGCGCGGAGGGAGGGAAGGTCCCGCCCGAGGGGGAAATCACTCTCAAAAATTGTGACCCGACAACTCCCTATTACGTTCTATTACGCTTACGTGTTTCCGAGACGTTCATTGATATTCCCAAGGTATTCTGAATGTTCCTCGGAATTTCTAATGTTTCCTTCATGTACACTACAAGATCAAATGTGTGCTTAGTACACAGCTGTGGGAGCGTACTTGCAAGCACACATCTATAGGTGTATGCTTGGCAAGTACACATCTATAAGTGTATGCTTGGACAAGCACACATCTATAGATGTATGCTAGGACAAGCACCCAGCTGTAGGAGTATGCCCTTAAATGGGTGGGATTAAAGTGTGCTTGGCCAAGCATACACCTATAGATGTGTACTTGCCAAGCATACACCTGTAGCTGTGTACTTGTCCAAGCATACACATACAGATGTGTGCTTGTCCCAGCATACAGCTATAGATGTGTGCTTCCAAGTACGCTCCCATAGCTGTGTACTAAGCACACATTTGATCTTGTAGTGTAACTTTGAAACATGTTCCCCCTACAAAAAATTTCAGAGTTGACCACCCCTCGGCTTTTTCCTTGTTTACAAATTTGATTTCTCTACTGTTTCTTGTGTTTTTCTCTAGGCAAATGGCATTATTGACGACTGGCGGCGCGTCGCGACGGCGTGTCCGGGCCGATGGAGCCGCAGAGCGGTCTGACACGCCGCTGCCGGCCTACATATCCCCATTGATTCTCCCGGGAGGATGGTGTCAAACCGATCTCCTGAATCGCTCGGCAGGCCTGGAGGGAGACAGGTATCTTGCCTCCTTGTCATTTGTCCTAACTCTGTCCTATCGTATGTGTTTCAGGCCTTACATATCATATGTTTGCCCGGTTTGCTGGGATGGATTCACCTTTAGAGGAAATATTACAAAACACGTGAGGAAATTCCACCCTGGTGAGTAGAAAGACGTTGGCTCTACATTCCGACGAGACATGTTACTGCGTAAGTTTCGAACTCATTTCTTCTCAAGACAGTTCTCCGAACTCGTACAAGGCTTATGAGCATCAAACCAACGCTTCACTTCCTGTTCTAGAGATTTTTATTTTGCTTTAAACATTTTGCAGTTATTGCAACTTTTTTGGTACTTGTTATATTTTGCCCAGCCAAAATTATACTTCTTGTTTGATTTGAACAATCCTGGGCGTCATTCCAACACTAGGCCGTGTTTCTTACCACTGGTTATTTCAACTTTTAAACGGGGCATAAAAATTGCATGCTCCCGTAATGTTATCTCGTAAACCTATGAAGGGTTCGATTATTGTGATCAACTAGCTCAAGTAGATAGCTGGGATTGTCATCATTTCCCTCTGGATAGCATATGTTGAATTATGAATTCATGAATTCGAGCAGTGAAACTTTGAACTCATACCGACTCTTGTTTCAGAAGCAGTGATTCCCCCGCACACTAAACTTCTTGCGGATACATTCTATCTGTACTACGGACATTTTTGTGCAATTGCAATTACGGATAGATTTTGCTTGTAATACGAATGAAATCATCCGTATTACAAAGAGTTTTACGTCCGTAACATACAGACGAAAATATCCGTATGGTACGGACGTAAAACTCTTTGTAATACGGATGATTTCATCCGTATTACAAGCAAAATCTATCCGTAATTGCAATTGCACAAAAATGTCCGTAATACAGATAGGGTGTATCCGTAAGAAGTTTAGTGTGCGTATAACATCCAACGGCTACACACTAAACTTCTTACGGATACGTCCTATCTGTATTACGGACATTTTTGTGCAATTGCAATTACGGATAGATTTTGCTTGTAATACGGATGAAAACATCCGTATTGCAAAGAGTTTTACGTCCGTACCATACGGATATTTTCGTGTGTATGTTACGGACGTAAAACTCTTTGTAATATGGGTGATTTCATCCGTATTACAAGCAAAATCTATCCGTAATTGCAATTGCACAAAAATGTCCGTAATACAGATAGGATGTATCCGTAAGAAGTTTACTGTGTAGCATCAGAGGCAGAACAATTGAGGCGGAAAAGTAAGTGTAGCTTCTTTTTAACACAAAACCATACATTTGATGTCAATATTCTGTTGTAAGGTAGTACATCAGCTAGGGTTTGCCGCCAAATATGTTTGGAATTAAAATTTGTCGTGATATGCTCTGCGCTTCGCATCAAGTTAAAGATAAAGCTCCAAACTCTATTTTGAATGCAATTTTGATTTCAGCCTACCTGGTTTTGACCATTTCAACTATAAAAACGGTCAACTCGCGTTTTGACCCAAAAGAGGGCATTTTTTGGACATTGTTTGTTATATAGTTCTCACATATGGACAGAGGAACCCCCGTTTTGGTGGGAGGATTTTTGGCTGAGCGATAGCGAAGCCTGTTACTCCAGTGCGGTTGAAAAGTTTTGTATGTCTGTGTGTGTGTGTATTTACACTACTCCTCCTGAACGGCTCGGCCGATCTGGCTGAGATTTTGCAGGCTTATTAGGTATGTTCTTTGCTCGGCACACGCGAAACTTCACTATCCTAGCTCAACTGGTTCAGGTTTTGTAGCCGATCAACACTTAAAAAACGGCGAAAAATCGAGTTTTTTGCAGGCTGATCACTTCTCTCGTGAAGGTAGGGGGGTCTGGGGGGCGGAGCTCCCCAGCCTCGACGAGTTAATAAGTTACCAGGGTCAAGATCGTGTTATCTGTAGATAAAGCAACTCTATCTAGAATGAAGGGGGGTCTCGGGGCATGCAACAAGTAACCGCCGACGGACAAGCCAATGCCTGCCGAAGGCAGGCTAGCGCCGCACACACTAAACTTCTTACGGATACATCCTATCTGTATTACGGACATTTTTGTGCAATTGCAATTACGGATAGGTTTTGCTTGTAATACGGATGAAATCATCCGTATTACAAAGAGTTTTACGTCCGTACCATACGGATATTTTCGTCTGTATGTTACGGACGTAAAACTCTTTGTAATACGAATGATTTCATCCGTATTACAAGCAAAATCTATCCGTAATTGCAATTGCACAAAAATGTCCGTAATACAGATAGGATGTATCCGTAAGAAGTTTAGTGTGCAGGCCAAGGTAGGTTCGCCAGGCGCGAATTGGAGGAACAGGCAGCGAGACATCGCGAAGCCTGTTACGACAAGACGCGGTCCGGCGTAAACCTACCTTGTAATTCTGTGCATCACAGCTGTGCATTCATTGTGTTTTATCTAACTGAAGGTTTTCTTGCCTAATTACTCCTTATATGCTAAAAGTAAACATTGTTGGCTGAGCGATAGCGAAGCCTGTTACTCCAGTGGGGTTGAAAAACTTTTTCTGACTGTTTGTCCGTCTGTTTGTCTGTCTGTATGTGTACACTACTCCTCCTGAACGGCTCGGCCGATCCGGCTGAAATTTTGCAGGCGCATTAGGTATGTTCTTAGCTCGGTACACGCAAAATTTCACTTTCCCAGCTCAACTGGTTCAGTTTTTATAGCCGAAAAACACCTAAAAATGGCGAAAAATCGAGTTTTCTGCAGGCAGATCTCTCCTGTCTCGATGAAAGGGGGGTCTGGGGGGCGGAGCCCCCCAACCTGACAAGTTAAAAAGTTACAAGGGTCAAGGTCGTGTAATTTGTAGATGAAGCAACTCTATAATGAGTGAAGAGGGGGTCTGGTCGGCGGAGCCCCGCAGCATGCAACAAATCAGAAGTAACTGATGATGGGCAAGCATTGCCGCAGGCTAGCGCCGCAGGCCAAGGTAGGTACGCCAGGCGCGGATTGAAGGAACAGGCCGCGAGACATCGCGAAGCCTGTTACGACAAGACGCGGTCTGGCGTAAACCTACCTTGTATGTTTTTCGGACCCATTCCACAAAAGGCAAATGTTAAAAACTACCAACTTTGAGTGCATTTTTTCTCAGAAACGAGTTCAGGAAGGAGCAATTTTTGTTTGGTAACACTGACTTTAGCGCATGATTTTCCATCGATATGGATCA